CCGCGACCCTCGTGAGGATTAAGCGGTGTATAGATAATGGATGGATGGAAGCTGAATGAGGACCAGTGTGTAGGATTTAGCAGCATCTAGTGGTGAGATTCAACTTGCAACCAACTGAAAAGCCGTCAGCCGTCCCTTTCCCACCGTGAATATTCCCTCCTCCAACCTAAATGAGTACACCCCTGTGCAACATCATTTCACTATCATAGGATCCACCACTCAATAATTCTGTTATTTCTAAGCTGAACAGTTTTCCTCTTAAGAACAATTAAAAAAAAACTAATATTTTCGAAGACTGCATAGAAAATACAGTCCCCATGGCAGCAGCTCAGTGCAATAAAAGTGAATACACCTGTGACCCACAAGTCATCAAGCCTGAGATCACTGTAACAGCACTTGGCATGAACATGGTTAAAACCAGAAACACCAAACCTTTGTCAGTTCTGGACGTGTCAATCTGCATTACGGCTCCACATGGAAATGAACTGCCAGGAGTGTCGACAGGTGAGACTTTACAAATGTAGAAAAGGATACAGGGAGATTAGTGACAAGCTAGAAATGATTAGAAACGCAGCCGCAGCAGTAATCAATAGAACGAGCCATAGTGCCGCTAAGGAGAGCCGCAATACAGCTGCAGACAGCGTACTATTTGTATAGAAGGTGTCGGGAGGATGACATTCTTGATTGCACCACGAATGCCTGTGAATATAACGTAACGCTGATGACTCCCGGTCTGAGGAAGCTTGGCAGAACACAAATATTCCAGCATGAGAACCGTCCAGAGCACGCTGCCAGAATCACACCACGATTTCCAGAGCAGAGAAAAGTAAAAGAGAAAAGGTAGACGAAGCGACTAGACAGTCTCTCTAGAGGAATGACAGAACATCTCTCCAGAAAGTTGGTACCTTACATTCTGAAAAAGATCGAGGCTGTCATCAAAAGAAGAGGTGAAAAAAACGAAAGATTTGAATTTCAGTAGTGAAACGTGTACCGGCTTTCGTTGCATTGAGTTTCTACTGTGTATTTTTAGATTTGAGATTTTTAATTGCCATTTGTGCACAAACAGACAGTCTCGGCACATTGGGATTCTTATGCAGGGCTCTCTTGGAGTCGAGTAAAAAAATAAAAACAGCCAGTCAAAATAGGTGAGCAATAAGACACTATACAATAAAACAAGAGTAATAAAAGATCCATCATCTATAAACCTCTTAATCCTCACTAGGGTCACTAGGGGCTGGAGGGGACACCCTGGACAGGTCACCAGTCTATCACAGGGCCACACTTAGAAACAGACAACCAAGCACACTCACATTCACACCTACGGGCAATTTAGAATCACCAATTAACCTCAACATGTTTTTGGACTGTGTGGGAGGAAGCTGGAGAACCTTGAGAGAACCCACGCTGCACGGGGAGAACATGTAGACTCCACACAGAAAGATCCCAGGCGTCCTCACTGGGATGCAAACCGGCGACTTTCTGCGAGGCGACGATGCTAACCACTGTGCCACCTTGCAGCCCGTAATAAAACTAAAATACAAAAATATAATAAATAAGTCTGAAAGCTGCACAAGGGGCTGGTGATGTACTAATATTGCACATGTAGAGGTTATGGCTCATACATCATACTGCACCAGTGGTAGAGTGAGGTCGTGAAGGGTTATTGCACATGCTGTTACCAGTAATGTTGTAAATCTAAACTGTTTTGTAAATTAGCATGAAAACGGTGGACAGTAATTTGCACCCTGTGAGCTCTACCTCTGGCCCAGTTTCACTTGATTCTTCCCTCGTGTCGCAGGTCAGAGGTTGTTCCGGCGCTCGGGGGCCGGGTCGGACTCCATAAGCGAAACCAGCTCCGTCGGACAAGCCGAGGAGACGGCTCTGGAGAAGAGTCCCACCGTGAGCAGCAGCGTCCACCCTCCCGACTCTCCAGATGCGCCGGAGACACCACATCACACCGCTAGCGATGTCTCAACAGAGGACATCCAGGGGTCTTCTGAGCCCTCACAGGTAGAGGCTGAGGAGGCGCCAGAAGAGAGGCAGCCCGAAGGCCAAGAGGCGGAGCAGAGCAGCAGATAGGACGACTCCGTCTGCAGATGCCGTCCATCCGTCCTCCTAATGGAACCAGCCTAACAGAGGTTAAAAGGAAAGGTGTATTACATTACGAATATAACTCATCGATGGGGGGTGGGGGGAGGTGATAGATTGATCTGTTTGTCTTGGCGTTATTGTTTCAGCACAGCTATGATGTCAAAGCTTAAGGAAGGAATCTCTGGAGGTTTCCTGTTGCATTATAGAGCAAAGGAGTTGCCGTACTGCGCACACTATTAGTTTTGGCTTCAGAAATGAATAGGATCGGTTAGTTCAATATTTAATTGCGATATCAACTGGAAATCAAGCAGCTCAATATGAACACAGTTAAAATGTTGAGACTGAACGTTCAACTCCACCAGAATGATTAACAGCTCCGTTGGTCCGCAGGGCAAAAACAGTAGTTGTTGTTCAGGCTTTTGCTTTTCTGTTGGCCGGCATCCATCCAAGTCATGATACTTGCAAATTTATTTTACTTTACATATTAAAAGAAAAGTCTTCAGGGGTGGACAAGACATAAACTGGACTTTCACCCAGTAGAGGAGGATTTAAATACCCGCTGGAAACATTGCTTTGTTTGTTTCAAGTTGCTTTTGTTTTGGCTTAAAAAAAATAATTTTTTGGTTTAGGAAAGTAAAATACTTTGAGTTTAAATACCTCTGTGCAAACACTAACAAAAACAAGGCTCCGTTATTTTGCTTGTAGGTTCCCTCCCTAAAAAATAGCCCCTAAAAAATACCTTCAGCACATCCTTACAGCTTTTTTTTTTTTAGTGAAATTAACCCATTTGTGGCTGCGGACCAACACAGCTGTCGGGCTGTTAGATTCCTCACTGTAAATAGTAAACAACATATATGTAAACTCACCCAATTACTCTCCGTAATAATTTATGATAAATAAGTCGATGTAGACAGATTAGAATAACACTGTATTTTATTTAATAAAATCTACTGATAATAGCAGTAACCTGCTTACATGCTTTAAAAAAAACAAAAACCTTAACGTGTGCACTAGCCGACGACGCTACGATGGTTTATCAGACTCACTGATGAGAGGAACAGAAATCCTACATAAAGACTAAAGTCAGAACTTTAACAACACATACAATAAAATTATTCCGTTACATTCGTTAGTCATGTTACAAAAGTAGGTTTAAGGATAAAGATTTGAGTTTTAGTTTTTACGAAAGCTGAAATGCGAACAAGACCAAGCTGCAATTTTCGGGTGAAAAAAAGTCATATGATGAGATTCAGTCACGAGAATAAAAGACAAAGTGGCAAATTGTAAAAAAAAAATAAATAAATAAGAAATAAAGAAATGTCTTCAGTTTGCAAGAAAAGGTCATGGATTGTGGTGATAGAGTCATATTTTTAGAAGTAGATCACAGATTAAGAACAAGACGTGTTACTGGACTGGATAGAGACGTTCACAGTCTGCACAGAGTTCATATGTTTAATGGCAAAAGACTTCATCATTAATAAGGTGCTCATTGGTGAAACCTAAAAACTTCAGAACCTCCACATCTTTATGTTCAAGCCTGTGCAGACGCTGTTTAAAATATACATTTATATCGTAGCGTTGAAGTTTCGTTCTCCAAATGTTCTGATTTTTTCCCCATAAAATCGTGACGTTGTTCCCACAGTATCATGACCTTTTCTTCACGATTGTGACTCATAATATTCGGACTGTTTTCTTTGAAACGATGTCTCCAAACACAGATTTGTGACGCCAAATCAAATTCTCTTTACAACCGAACATGCAGCCGGGGTCATTTTGTTCCATTTTATGTAAACAGATTTTTGTCTATAATGGCATCAGAGCAACAACAACAACAAACAACCTGCTACTGGGGAGCATTGCTTCACAGGTATTCACTGTATGAGGGATGTTTCTTTTCTCTTCAGAAAAATGTGCTTGATTACCATTTAACTGCCTGCAAGTGCGATATGAGAGGGCCAGCTAGGGGATGGGTTCTGTGTTTTGGTTGACGTGTAACAGCCCTCGAGAACTACTGCAGATCGTGCTGGGGCCTTAACGCATCACTGGCAGCGCTTAGAAATCTTTTAGCAAGTTAAATATTAGAAAAAGGACGAAATGGAAGTGTGTTACGAAGGTACACTTTGGCGTGAAACTCGTTAATGTTTTACATGAACGGGAGCGAATGAGCCACAGTAGGTTTGAGGGGGAAAAAAAATGGTTTAAAATTTGCTCTTGTCGTGGTGCCTTCGTGTAAAAAAATGTAAAAAAAAAAAACAAACAAAAAACAAAAAACGTCCAAGAATGAAAGCCAAAGACGCAAACTGGGCCGGACTTGTCGTTTAGTGCTTTGGTGCTGGTAGAAGATCCTCTATAAAGACTTGTGTTTCTTTAACTTGTTTATGGGAAATGTGGATGAAGTACAACGGTTTGATGAGGAATGACCACAGTAGGAATGAGAAATTACAAAGAAATTGCACTTGTTCTGTAGATAATAATTACTACTGTTCTGTATTTAATTTCTTCTTAAGGTGTAAATGTAGCAAAATCGTGACTGTTTCTGTCGTATGATTCTAATGCAAATGTAAAATCAATACTTTTCTCACCTCGAAAGAATGTGTTGGATGAAGAACTTTTCATTTTGTGTAGTCACTGTCTCATAGTTTGATGATTGAAATGTTTTTTTTTTACTGTTTCGACACACTTTGACATGCTTAGTGTACGTCGCGTCTCCACAGAGTCGTTTAATGCAGCTTTCTAAGGTTCAGGCAAACTCTGCAAGTACCTCTCCATGCGTCGGATATTAAGTCTTCCTCTGTACGGTTGTGAGTTGGTCCCTGAATGCAGCTGGGATTGGAAAAGGTTCACGTATTTTGAATTCTAACGAAACTTAATAATAAGTGAACAAATTTGTGTGATCTGGGCCCTTCAATGAAAGGAGGTAAAATAGACCAACACGCATAAATATGACCCAGATTTATTGGAAATGAAACGAGGTGTGGACTTGAGCTGGACAGAATCGGCACAGACTTGTGAGACGACTTAGTATCTTAATTTTCACCCAGATTGTCAAGGATGTAAGAGAAACTAGCTGTTCATTTCCTAGCAGTAAATACACTTTAAATCACCCTGACGAGAATTAATCACAGGTGTCTATGCAACGTGCAGAGCATTCAGCTCATACAAGACGCACCTTTCGTTTGCTTTTAAAGACCCTCCGTTAAAGTGTCCACGTGGTCTCAAAAACACAGATTCCGACTTTTGGGGGTTTCATCTGTTAAAAAAAACAACTAAAGAACCAATCCTGTCGCTTTCTTCTTCTTCAGAAATGGTTTCCAACTTGTTTGGCTGACTTACTCCAATATTACAACTTGCCAATGTGTAGTGCAGTCGTTTTACTGTGCTGAGTCGAAGGTGAGCCGGTGTGCTCGGGCTGCAGCGAATCAGGAGGGGTGGGTGGAAAGAGAAATTCATAGATCTGCACATTCTCGAGGCAGGAATGGGCTACTTTCATAGAAAAAAAACACAGATGAGTTTTGATCAGTGAACAGAGAGAGGCTTAAACGCTTTGTTTTGATGCCGGACTTGGAAATGTGTCAGTAAAGCTCGAGACTCACTTTTGATCCGTCCCACCTTCTGTATGGCTCTTTTTTTTTTTTTTTACCGACGTTGTAATTGGCAGCACAGTAATTTCAACACAATCTAATGCAACAAATTGTACCCTTGTGAAGCTTCGAGGTGTTGATTCAACTCTGTGGTCATTTTTTAGGCTGTAGTTAGTGGTGTTCTACACTGTAAGGTGTTCTTGTTATTATGTCCGTCCCTTACAACACAGGAAGTGAGTCCTGTGTCACATTACATTGAAGAAGTGTTGCTTTTATTCCATTGCTTTTACATACAACAGACGAATGCCTAGGATTATATGATGTTAATTACTAATAAATAATCGAATGATGCAGCTAATCTAACAGCAGAGTTGGTCCGCGTGTGTTTGATTTTGAAATGTATGCCTCCAGGGACTGTATTTAATGACTCTGGTAATTATAGGGTTGGACCGCATTAAAACTGGAGGATGTGTTCAAAACCACAACATACTCTGAGAGGATTCATACCACAGATGCAGATGATGATGATGATGATGTGGAGATTTTCCGGTTCATTTCATCAGACATGCCAATCGCAGAGGAGCTTTTTGTACGATTCATTTGTCGACGCATTTAGATTCCCTCTGTGCTGTTTGTATGAGTTGTTACAAAGCTGTGATACACCGCTTGTGCCCAAAGGTGATTGAAATTCAGTTAATGGGTCAAATGGAAAGGGAACCGAGGCTGGTGTGTTGCAAACCAAACATATTTTTATTAAATCATGAACCCAGCAAGTGTCGTGTCGTGTTGTCTTCTTTTTCATGTTTGGAAAGATTTTCACCACAAACGCTCAGGAGTTTTGTCTGTGAAGCTTCTCCGTCATCCAGGTCGTGGTTATTCTGGTAGATTAATCATAGAAACTGGACTTGCTTGAGTTCCTTGAAGACGTTCCACCTCTCATCCAGGAGGCTTCATCAGTTCTGACTGACTAGTAGGGAGTTCCAGACACTTACATCCTTAAGGATCCATTGAACGAGGGGGAGGAGCAACAAACCCCCAAATGAAACCGAAACTCAGGTGTTAATGGATCCTTAAGGATAGAAGTATCTCGTCAGTCAGAACTGATGAAGCCTCTTGGATGAGAGGTGAAACGTCTTCAAGGAAATTAATCAAGTCCAGTTGCTCAGGAGTTTTGCAAATCCAAGAATACGGTTGCACAGGTTTGGTGTTGTTTGTTGATGTGAAAATTAGAGAACAAACCAACAAAAATGAGCCTATTTTAGTTCAGAAAACTAAACACAGTGTATAAGTATAAATATTATACTAAGTCTGTCCTTAGCCACACTTTGTTTTGGAGATGCCATAACGCAGAAAACGGGCTGCAAGGTAGCACCGTTGCCTCGCAGCAAGAAAGTCGCCGGTTCGCAGGCATCCGGGATCTTTGCATGGAATTGTCATGTTCTCCAGCGTGGGTTCTCTCCGGGTTCT